TTAATGCCAGAGAGTATTGTGAAATATTTGTTTCTTTCCTCTGAAAGCATAAAAGTATGAGTATATATAGATGAATTATAGAGATAGAGATTAATTATTTGAAGACAAGGGCAGATAGAGATCACATGATGCTATCTTGAAGGTCTTTTTCAAATAATAATAATAATAATAAGTCAGGATGAGCCAAATGAAGATAGTCCAGAGACATGTGGATGAGAAGCATCTCATGATATTGTTTTATACATGTCTTTCTCAAATGTCAAGAAATTTATGGTTGTCATTTCAAGTTATAAAAATACTCAAGACATGTCATGACTCAAAAATTTGACGTGACTGACATGGGATATGAACATAAACACACATCCTTAAACCTTGATAAAAAAAACTCTACTTTAATATTTTAATGTATTACAAATGGAAATAAAAAAAATATTATTGCAACACTTTTTACTAGCAAGATAATTTAAAATTCTTTGTAGAAATTTTGGCAAAACCTCCCTTATAATTGGAACCTCCTAAAAATCTCAACAACAACCATTTACAAAACCAAATCAAAAATAATGTGCTTTGCTCAGCCACACAGCCAAACAGTATAAATTATAGATCAGGACCCTATCTATAGTTATCATAGAGTATCTAAAACATAATCTCAAAATAATGCCTAATTAAATATTTACATCAAAAAGAAAGATATTCTCAAAAGATCTCCTAGCCAATTCAATAATGAGCCTCTCAACGATCCTTAAGAAGTGCAGATCGCTTGAATTATCTAAGACCAAAAATATTTTTTTAGTGAATAACATCTCAATAATGAAATTAAAAGGTTCAAGATAAATAAATTTATCAAGAAAATTGGTGCACAATCAAGAAAAACATCAATAAAATAAAAACTGAATTTGGAGATTAAGAGATTCTATATAACTTCCAATATACTGAACTAATAAATTTACAATGACAAAAACCTTAACACTTGATCTTGTATAATCAAAATAAAATAGATTAAGTGAATAAAAATAGTAACATTCACTATTTAAATCAATAAAGTGTGTACATCTTCACAAATCAATTAAATCTGAGCAATTTTCAAAATAAGTACAGATGTGGACACACAATCTATGAGGGTGAATAACCAAACGCGACTTATGCTATAAAAACAAATGTGGACATACAATTTACGAGAGTAAATAACCAAACGTAGTCAAAGCCACAAAACAAATGTGGACACACAGTCTATGAGGGTAATACTAATCAAATACAGCTCAAAACAATGAAAACAAACGTAAGTATGAGACTCACAGATAACAAACATGAGTATGATACTCATGAAAGTCAAATAGCTAATTATAACCATGACGCCAAGGGCTAATGGAACTGTAATTAGTAGCCAATGCTCTGCATACAGTCCTCTAAAATCAATTTTTCAAACATCTGAGAAATTAATCATGTTCAAAATAAATTTTGTACTTCCAATATCAAACTCGCATGAACATTGAAAACCCCATTTCTTCTCAATATAAACTTCTTCACTAATTTCACATTTGCCTTTATCAAATGAAATTACTATTTAAGCTAATAAAGCTTTTCATCAACTTTTAAGATATATTTTACAATGAATATATAGAGACATATTATATTTTCATTACTTTTCACCATATAAATTACAACTGCAAGAGTTTAAAACAATATAATTAACAAAATATTAAATACTTGAAATAGTACATGATATATACTTAAGAAAATAATATTTTAATGAAAAGAAAGTTGTTAGTAAATTTGTTGGGATATTATCCACTTACCTGTCATAGTTCCAAATCTAAAGATTTACTTCTTCCAACTCCTAAAAAAATTTATCTTCTTCTCAACATCCTATGTAAAATTTATAAAGAATTGATTAATGGCCTTCACTCAGATCACACAAATTTCCTTCCAAAGTCACTACAACAAAATCAATTAAATTTCAAATCAAATAATGTATGCCTTAGCTTCTTCGATCCCTCAACAATTGTATAAATTACTTTCTATCCAAATAACTTGATTATACTTTAATTTGTTTTCCCAACATCCATTAAGGAAAATAATTTCCTTCTAATAATTGTTTTAATTAATCAACAATGTATCCACCATGCCTATATGTCAAACTCACATTTAGACATTTTATTAAATACCCCGTAGGCATTAATCCTCAAACTAATATCAAGCTTTTCTCTATTCAATTTCCTTTCTTCAATTTCTATTACACTTTATATATTTTTTTCTATTCAACACTTTGTGTCTATCCGACTCTCCTCAAGTGCTTATACAACTAAACTTGTATATAGACACACAACACCTTTAATCATTATAAAATTTTAGAGTTCTTCCATCACCCATTTTATCGAACACGTGGATTCCCAAAATCAAGTTTTAAGACAATATTATTATTTAATAATTAACTATGTGATTCTCCATTATTCAATTGTCTCACAATAATTTCATAATCAAAATTTTTCACAAAACTCAAGTTACATCCATAAATAATTAACATCTAAATCAAATCTATCCTTATAAAAGTTTATAAAATTTTGAAAAATTCATAACCAAACTCAACTCCTTCTAACGGATATTTCTCGAACCTCTTGTAGATATAAATATTTAAATTTAATTCTAAGCTCTTATCTTCAAATCACATTCCCACAATTCCCAACATCAACACTTGAATTCATCAAAATTTTTATATTATTATTCTTATGATATATATTATATATACACACACACATAACCCAATGTTAAACCCAAAGAATAAATCAAACTCCCATCCAACTTCATCAATAACACTAACAATAATTGAATTACCTTATCAATTGGAGTCAATTCAGCTCACTAAATTTTTTTCCCACAGACCTAAGGAGCAAAGAGGGACGAAGGGAGAGGATCAAGCTTCCATAACTACCTAAGAGCACTACCACGAAGCAAAGACAGAGAGGGCACGGATCGACAGCAACACAGAAACGGCAGAAGTCTCTGACCTCGGTGAAGCTCCTTACATCAGAAAACGATGGCGACTCTAGCATTAACGGCAGCTCCAGCAGCGACAGTGACGGACGAATGAACTAAACAGCAGCTAGCAAGGGCGAATGATTGGCTGCACAAAACAGGGGGGAAGGAATCGCAATCTGGACCTCTCAGCAGCGGCGGAGGACGTGCTTGCTCACAGCCACGCCGGCAATGTTCAAGACGGTGGATGACGGCGAAGAACGAACAAAGGAGGTGAGGGTTCCTGCTCTCTCTCACACTCTTGCTCTAGATTGTTCGAAACTCGAGAGAAGCAAGAAGAAAATGAACAATATTGAAGCGAAAATGAAATCCTCTCCTTTGTGCGTTAGAGATTCGAACCCATTGCCTATGTTTTCAAGGTCCAAAATTATTGCCACTGAACCTCAAATTATATAAAGACATAGTTAAATCACATAAAAATAGATTTTAAAATTTTAATTTTTTTTATAGGCCATTACAAGACATCTCTTAGGCTTCTCCTATATCTTCATTAGTCCAATTGAGACATGTTGGAGTAGCATTCAATTGAAAAGAGCAAGTATTGAGCCTGTGAAAAGTGTCTTACAGGATTGCAATAGACATGCTTCTTGGATCAAGTTAATAAAATGTCTGGAAATTTATCTCAGAGGGGAATATTTTTCTTGGCACATTCTTAAGTGAAACTAAATATATAAAGACTTGAAAATATTGATGAGATTGTTAATAAAGTTAATGATGGAAGTCGTATGAACAAAACAATTTTTCCTTCCCAGGCTTCCTGTTCTTATTCAAATCTCTAATCAAATTGTGAAATTCGATAGCAGAACAAACCGATGGAGCTATAGTGTACACTTGATGAACTAAACATTTTCTCTCTGCCCTTTAAATTTTAATTAGTAATTACCTTAATTTTTTTTATCTATTTGTTGGACCTCACCTGAACAAATCTGTTTGACTTCAAAATTCATGGTTCACTCACACACTTGAATCAAAGTTAAGGTAATAATCAACTAATTAACGATTATGCTGGAAAGTATCTTTTCAGTATAATCAAATTAATAAACAGTTGAAGACAACTATATATATACAAAGAAAAATGCATTTTGCAGTTGTCCCTTCCCACCTTTAATTAATTTCCTGTAAATAAATTTACAGAACAATTAGAGCCTATACTATCTATGTTCTTATTCATATCGCTAATAAAACCGCGTAATTCAATAGCAGAACAAGAAGCTCTCAACAACCAATGACATATGAACCCATGGAGCTACAGTTTACATTTGATGAAGTTAACATTTTCCCTCGGCTCTCTAGGAATTAGCTTATATTTATCTATTTTTACTTGATTCTCAAGACAAACTTGGACCTCACAAGAACATATCTGTTTGATTTCAAAAGTCATGGTATATGTTGGAAAGTATATTTTCAATATAATCAAATTATATATAAGGAAAAATATATGAAATCGAGGTCGGATAATGCTTCAAGATGTTTTCTTGTGGTCAAGCAATAAGATATTACAGAGCAAGAAGGACCATAAGAAATCGCATGATATTGTCTCTAATGTTCTTTCCGGGGCTCAAGATGTTAAATGAGAGTGCATTACAACTGTCAAGATAACTAATATTGGAGAGATAGATTAAAATCTTGACATCTTGATGGTGACAAACCAGTGAATTGAAATCACATATTTTTATAAACTGATGACATCGTTGAAGACTAAAATGTTAATGAATTTCCAACTCCTACCCGTACAAGAAATTATTATTGTGTTAAAATTAAATTCAATCCCCAGGAATTAAAAAATCACTGAGTATCAATAAACTATTTTCTTAGTCTTCTTAAGATTCTCATAGATTAATTTGCATGCACTCATATAAAGATACTTTTATTACCTTCAAGCAAAATATTTATTTGAATTTACTATATTCAAGAATCTTATTTTCTGCTGAATTTTTCTACAAGAAAAAATCCTTAGTCTCCTGAACTACAAGTTCAATGCCAGAAGATGAAGGTGACATTTTTCTTCATAAATTTCTCACTTTGGTACACAATTTTTCTCTTCCTAAGTAGGGAAAGAAAAGGAACAAAATTCTTTACAAAGCAAAAGGATATAGTACAAAATTGTGTTGGCTAATCTATGTGTATCTTGTCTTTGTCAGCTAGCACCTATTGAAAGAAGAAGTGACATTAAGGAAGACATCTTCTCTGCAAGGAATGGTGAGAGCCCCCATTGGATGATCATATCCATATTCTTCCTCAACTTGGCTCAACAGCTCTTGAAATGAAGATTGATTCAAGTAAGATATAGGAATCACAAACCTCTTCATTTTCTCTCCAACATAGACTGCAAGATATCCTTTTGGCACTTCACATGATTTTGAAGAAGCCACTTTTGTGGCAAATGAAGCCCTTCTTGTTCCTGGCAAACGAAAGCCCATTTTCTGTGTTTAAGAGGATAAGAAGAAAGTGCTCAAATTTAGATGCTGTAGAGTTGTGTTGTTTCTGATCCATGCAAGTATGAGTATATATAGATGAATGGATTTGCATTTTCCTTCAATAATTGGTGGATGAGAGATTATGTGATTGGGCCTACTTGAAGACAAGGGCTCTTTGAGATCACATGGTTGTGTCTTAGAGGTCTTTTTCAAAAAGCAACAAGTCAGGAGGAGCCAAATGAAAATAGAGGACATGGAAATTCCATTTGGTTAAGATATGATCGATGAAGAGTCAGCTTAATGAGTTGTAGTCCAGTCCACAGAAACATGGATGAGAAACATCACATGATTCTGTTTCATGTCTTCATCAAATATGAAGAATGATATCATTTGAACAGTTCAAGCATTAATGTCAATTAAAGTTTTACAGTTGTCATTTATGTTCCAGACATGCTTCAGACATCTCTTATGCTTCCTTATAGCAAAAGCATGCTGGAGTAGCATTTTAGTGAAAAGAACGTATGAGTAATGGTTGGCATCATGTCTATAGATTCAAATTAAATATTTAAGTTCGTATTCATGTCTCTAATACAGTTAAAGATGACTGGCTGTGCATGGGATAAAAGGGAAAATAACACCCTTGTGCATTTCTCTGCACAATGACAATGATATTTAATTTTAAATTATCAAAAGCCCCATTTTCATATTCCTTTCTTTTTTGAATCTTAAAGTCCCAAAACTTAATTTTAGTTGGAAATCATGGTAAAAAAATGTAAATATATAATTGAGTAAGTTATTTGCAGTTAAGCTTCCAGTATTTACTAATAATTTCTTATTGTCAATAGAGCATATTAGCATCAGGCAATTAATCCTTGTAACCGGCCCTCCATAATAACATAAAGCTTGTTATTATTGTTATTGTTGTTGTTGTTGTTGTTGTTGTTTGTTGGAAATCATGCACTACAAAAAAAAAGCACACTTTTGGCGACAACAAAAAGTTATTGCCAAAAGTCCAAAAGCCACTGTTAAAAGTTTTTAGCGGCAACTTTTTGTGTTGCTATTAAAAGGTTGTCACTATAACAACCGTCGCTAATAGTTTTTGGAGACGACAAATATTTTCACCACAAAAAGTATACTTTTATTGGTGACATTTGTGGTTCTTTGTTATAAAAGTATTTTTGGTGCTAACAAATGTCGCCGTTAAAGACTTTTCGTAGTGACAAACTTTTTTTTTAATAAATAATAATTTATTTTATGCCATATCATTATGCCACGTGTGTATCACGTAATACCATGTTGCTTGCCATATATGCGACAGATGATGCCACGTCACTTGTCATCTTGTGCCACATCACAAGCCACGTGTCCGACAAATGATGCCACATCACTTCGCCATCTCATGCCATGTCACACGCCATGAGTGCACTTCCTCAAGCCATTTTATGCGCTATGCCATCATCTCGTTTCTCGTCACTCGCCATGTGTGTGCCACCTCATGCGCCATGACACTGCTACGCGTGCACACTACCTGCCACATGTGTACCTCCTCAAGTCACCTCACACACCACGTTACCACCATGCACCACATCATATATTTGTTGTAAAATATGACGAAGCCAAAGTTTAAACCCTTGACTTCTTTCACTTCCAAGCCTCAAGCCTTCTTTCTTTGCTGATTAAATTGAAATGTATCTATAATTATCATATGTAAAATTAAATATATGTTATGTAACTGCATATACACATATCAAATAATATATTATTAAAAAGATACACATATATTACATTTTATTTTTAATTATTAATATGAAAAAATGATTTATATGAGTATTGAAATTTTAATTTTAATAAAATATTATTTTTTACCAATAAATATTATTTTTTTAATAAAATGAACTTAAAATAAAAAATTTTAAAATATTAAATAATATTCTTATATACATTGTAACCAATTTTGAAATTTTTTTTATTTTTTAAATGAAAATTATTAAGTATATAATTTATTTATAAATATGTATTATATTATTTTATGTTAAATATCTTTTACTTTTTTTCTCCATATTTTTTCTAAAAAATTGATAAACTAAATGATTAAATGTTTATCTTCTATCAAAATAGCTAAATGTTTCCCCCTCTTTTATTAAAAATATATTTATCAATAATTTTTCAATATCTTAAAAATTATTTAAATAACAAATTAATTTTAAATACATAGATTTTGTTAATAGTCATTTTGAATAATTTTGAAAATAAATACTAATAACTTTTACAATATATAATAATTACAAGAATCTTATATGTGATCAATTTAGTTAACATCTAATCATCCTCAACCTCATATACACCATTTGTATATCAAGCTAAGCATCAAATATGCAATATGTCAAGTAGTCTATAATATTATTTATATCTCATGACATTTGTATAACTTTAACATCAAAATGCCATTCATGTATTTGTATGTAAGTAATAATTTATGTACAACTTAACCTAATTATAATTAAAAGTAATAACCCATCAAGATTTTAATTAATCATATTAAAATACTAGCTTATTAACATATTTATTAAAAAATATGAGCTCTATATGTCTAAAAAAAGATTATGAATAATACAAAATTAGAAATAATTTAATAATTAAACTTAGCACACCTTGACTACTATTTTTTTGTTTCATGATCCTATATATCATTTATTTCTAATTCTATATAAAAAAATAAGAAACTTAATTTCATCAATATATATTTTGAATGATTTTATTTAATTTCAAATTTTTTAAAAAATTCATACTTTAAAATTATTTCATATAATTTAAACTTATATTTAATTTTTTAAAAATATTTTTGATGGCAATAAATGTCACTACTAAAAGTGTATTATATAAGTTATTTTTAATTTTAAATTATTTTTATAAAAATACTTTTAGTGGCCGATTATAGAAATTGTTTTTAATTTTTAAAATATTTTTATAAAAATATTTTTGGTAATGACAAATGTTGCCGCTAAAAGTACACTTTTAGCGGCAACAAATCAAGGTAGACACCAAAAGTGAACTTTTCATGGTGACTTTTAATTGTCATTGATACTTTTAGCGGCAACAAATCAAGGTAGACACCAAAAGTGAACTTTTCATGGTGACTTTCAATTGTCATTGCTAAAAGTATATTTTTGGTGGCGACTTTTAGTGGTAACAAATTCTCACCACCAAAAGTCCACTTTTCATGATGACTTTGATTTGTTGCTGCTAAAAGTTCACTTTTAGTGGTGACTTTTTCAGTTGCCGCTAAAAATCGCCATCGAATGTCTTTTTTTTTTTTAATATGATGGTCTTTCAATGCCATTTTCAAAATGTGATGTTCTTGAATATCATTTATGCGCCTTTCAAGGTCCTCAAGTGTTAATCAAAAATAAAATAAAACTACAACAAAGTCAGTGATGTTTTTCTGGTGAACTCAAGGATCAAGATGCTCTAAACGGACAAGGACCGCAAGGGATCACATGATATTGTCTTACAGTTTCTTTTATTTTCAAGGATACCAAGATGTTAAATCAAGAGATCAGTGCAATAATGCAACCACCAAACCAATATATAGATTAATTCATTGACATCTTAAGGAGGACCTATATTGATTGATATTAAACTTTGTTTGTGCTAAATATCAAACTTGTATATTGGCAAGACCACGTGGAGATTACGCATGAAGTTTGCTATATCTAAACTTGAACGATCAGATTTTACATAAAATATTCGTTCTATGGTCTCGATGCTCAAACTATAAGCCAAATGAATTATATTATGAAATCCAGTGGCCATCGGTTGTAAATATCTATTTAAACTTCCAAATTTTTACTTGGATCTGACTTGTTTTTATGGAGAAAATATGATTACAGGTGACATAGGACTAGATTAATAATTCAATGTCCATAATCCACCAAAGAGAATTGATCCTGAGAATTTTTAATAAAACAAAGTGGACGAAGAGAGAGACAAGCCATTGATTGGCTTAATTTACCAGTCAAAAAAGGTTCAACTCGGTAGACACTCAGAACTTAGTGAGATAAAAATGAAATGTTTCTATTCACAAATTTCTAACTGGATATACAATTTCTTACAAAGAAAAAAAAAATACCCAAAAAATCTATACAAGGCAAAAGGAAGACATCTTCTCTGCAAGGAATGGTAAAGGCACCAATTGGATGATCGTACCCAAATTCTTATTTGGCTTGGCTTAACAACTCTTGAAATAAAGGTTGACTCAAGTATGATATGGGAATTATATTACAAAACTCTTCATTTCCTCTCTAACATATACTGCAAGATATCCCTTTTGTACTTTAACTGATCTTGAAGAAGCCACTTTTGTAGCAAATGAAGGCCTTCTCATTCCTGGCAAACAAAACCCCATGTTTTGTGCGTAAGAGGAAAAAAAGAAAGAAAGAAAGAAAGTGCTCAAGTCTAGATGCCTGAGGATGTTGTTGTAGAATTGTGTTGCTTCTGAAATGCATGCAAGTATGAGTGCGGGTATATAAATATATATATATATATATATATAGATGAATGGATTTGTTTTCCTTCAATAATTGGTGGATGAGAGATTACGTGTGATGTGGCCTATTGGGAGACAACGGCTCTTGGAGATCACATGGTTATGTCTTGAAGGTCTTTTATAGAAAGCAACAAGCAGGACGAGCCAAATGTAGAGAGGACTTGGAAATCCATTTAGTTGAGATTATATCACTCATGAAAGGTTAGATTTATGAGGTGTAGTCTAATCCAGAGACATGGATGAGAAATATCACATGGTTTTGTTTGATGTCTTTGATACAAGTAGGATCATTGGAACTTTGCAAACCTTAATGTTTCAATGAAGATTTTTATAGTTGTCAGTTTGATGCCTTGACACACTTGAGGCATCTCGTAGACTCTCTTTATGTTCACAAGTCCAGCTGATAGCATGTACATTGGAGCAGCATTCGGTTAAAAAGTGCAAGTAAATGTTGGAATATTGTTTGGAATGTGTTGGAATATTTTTAAGGGAGAATCG